GGGCATGTGTGGGGAAAAGCCTCCCTCTCTCTTTTTGCTGTTTTATTCTCCAGACTTACAATGAGGGCCGTTCTCTCCCGGAAGAAGGAATCCTCGGCACTCCAACTTTGTAGTAATTCACTGCCAAAGAAGGTAAAGATGCTCCTCCGCCAGCCAGCTTTCCACTACACCACCACATTGGGCCCATGATGAACCAGCCAAGCTGAACCAAGAGGAAGCAGCGGCCGGGAATCCTCGAGTGCCTGCAGAATCAGTGTTTCCAACTGACTGCCTCCCTCGCTCGTTCGAATCCGTCAACCAAGAACGCTGCATTCACCAGTCCAGACAGGACGGGAAATGAGAAGAGAGATTTTCTTTCCATCACCACTCTCTTTATAAAAGCATCACCTCCGCCCCTCGCCAAAGCAATGGGGTCACCTTGAAATCGAAGCCAGCCATTGAAACAAGTTGGCTGGGTTAGAGAAAAGAACTCAGGACCACATCCTACAGGGCTCAGCACCCTCTGCACGGCACAGGATTCCCATACCTTTCATCTTGAATGGAAAACCAAGGCCTATGGCCAGGCCACAGAGGAATTATGGGCTGCTTAGAGAAGTCCCACCCAAAGTTCAGGTAGCAGATGTTTTTGATAGGGAGGCAAAAATGAGTAGGGTAACCTCCAGAAGAGGTTTATTTCTTTGTCGCGGATAATCTGGAGCGAGTGAATCCACTTTCTCCCCATCGTTACCCAGGACAGTGAGAGGCAAGGACATACAACCCAAGTGCTACATACTAAGAACATCCAAGCATCGTGGGGCCATTGGACAAAGTCCCAGATCAATGTGGAAGCAATGGGAACAGATCCCCACAAGCTGCTGCAATGGGAGCTGCAACCCCGAGACACGGAGAGATCCAGGCTGATGCACAATGCCTGCACTTTGGCTCACTGTGTAAGCCAGATTCCCCACTGCAGAACACATAAATGTGCCTGTAGGTGGCCTAAAAACACTGACTTATTAAAAAGAAAGAGGAGGGGAGAGGGAATGAATGCAACGTCTGTCAGCCTTTTACCAAATTGGATTTGTGTGTGTGTGTGTGTGTGTGTGTGTGTGTGTGTGTGTTGTCGGAGCTCGTTTTGCAAAGATTTACATTTTTGTGTGTGCTGTCATGTGCTTTTCATGCATTTTGAGAGCTCAGAGTTTAGAAATTCAAAACACCTGTCAGTCACATCAATCCCTCTGGACAAAACAGAGCTGCCACTTGGATGGGTAAAAAAATAAAAACAAACAAAAAGCACTTTTCTGTCAAGCTGTGACTTGGTCACCCTACTCAAAGCGACGAAAACAATGTTTAGAGAAAGAAAAAAGAAAGATTTGAGTTTTCATACTCGGCGGTGGAACTAAATTGATTAAGGGCATTTCCTAGGTAGGTTCGAAATCTTCTGCAACAATTTTTGAAAAGAAAAAGGAAAGTGCCCTTCTAAAAAAGGGAAAAGCCACCACTGCAAAAACATTAAATCTGCCTGGGTAACTCAGAATATATGTTGGCAAGGCAACATATCACAGCTTGAACAGTAAACCTGCTATGTCAGGGGCTCTGCAACATATGAAAGGGACTTGGGCTTCAATATATCATGCTGAATTTACTTCTTTTCAGCCTTTCATGGCAAAGCATTTGATGTCTATCCTTTCACTGTTGCAGTCGATAGGGTAACCTTCCTTAAGAGTTTCCTGACCTTTGCTGTTGTCAGTATTGTTCTGTTACAATGTAATTTAACTCTTTTTCTTTAGTCTGGAAATGGCACTGTACGGATAGTAAACATGATAGGGTTTGGGTTTGGTTTTTTTCCCCCTCTAACCTAGAGGGGAGAGGTAAAAGCATCCATCATCAGAGCTGGCTTGAAACCAGCCGATGTCAAGAGGCGGTCGACACACAGCAGCCCAGATCCTCTGCTGATGAGGACCCACTGAGCAGCACAGATTTCACACTTCTCATTTGCGTTGTGCCCCTTGGCATCAGCACAGGATCTGGGTGGTTTCCCAGCACTCTGTTTTGCAAAAACTTTTGGATGCTTGCCCTCAAGGGTTGAAGCCTAGTGCCATGATTCGGCTGCATTCTGACTGAGCTGCAAGAGGGAGAGCATCAGGATGTGCCTCCAGTGAGCTCTTTCCCTATGCTGCTGCCATAAGGACAGACGTACTTGTGCATGGAACTCTGCAGCAGACCAGCTTCTGTTGGGCTCATGATCTCAGTTGGAAAGAGAACAGCTTACCGTGGAGGAGGCAGGCTCAAAATGAGCATTTATCCCCAACTTCAGGCTGTGACCACACTCTGCCCCTCAGGAAAAAGGCCCTGGGAAGCAGCAGAACTTAAAAACAAAGGTATCAAGGCAGGGACAGAAGCTCAGATGTTTATCCACAGTACCAAGAGGCTTCCCTAGGTTCACAGCATTACAAGGATGTTGGCACCTCTTTGGTGCTATGAGGTCAGAACACTTCCAGGACTGAGGCCTTCAGATAACACCTTGCACTCCCATAACGCTTGGAAAACAGAGATTGAAACCAACTAAAGAACAAAACAAAGGGATCTGTTTTCAAAGAACTACCAAAACAGAAGGGGATCGATTTTTCCTCACGACTACGGCCTTTGAAAGGCCAGGTTGCTTTGGGGATACAGCTGGATTATCCATTGCAGGATCTTTATGAGCCTGCTTTCAATCATATTACGGTCCTGTAATGGATATACTTTTGCAAAAGCAATTTCACGTTGCTATTATCTGTTTTGTTGCCATTATTACGTCTTTGTGTTATTGCTGTACATGGGTATTACACTGCATTAGTGCTGCAGAGGCGCACACACACACACACTTGCACAGGATTATTGCTAAAAACTCTGATCCTTCTTATAGAAAGCCCTATAAATCCCAGAGAGCTCCCTTCAAATCAGCAGCATTATCCAACAGTAAAGCCAGGGTGTAAATCAGAGCAGACTCCAGCTCAGATGCTCTTCAGCCACGCACCATATGGGAGCAACGAGCCTAGAAGCACGCTGGGATTTCCATACTGGGACTTGAATACAAGTCAGTTCCCCCCAAACCCATCCCTGCTTGCATTTCACACAGTGTTGAGCCCCTCTGCTCAAGCACCTTGCACTAGTCACACTCGCCTCATCAAGCAGCTCTCTGAAACAGAATAAGATCTGGTTTTGGCAGCACTGCCGCAGACACGTGCTTAAATATTGCTCACAGATGAGTTATTTCTTGCTTCTTAGTAACTTTAAATAGCTTTTATGCTCAGTGAACTCATCAAAGACTAGCATGTAAAGTCAGGAGCGCTGAAACCATGAATTAGTCAAAGGACAAACGGGCCAGTTAGCCTGTAAGGCGTTTCTTGCAATACAATATCTTGATGGCTGCCAGAGGATCTGATTTAAAGTCACTATGCTACACCTGAATGTCATTTATGGCTCATAAAAGGAAATCTGTGTTTAAGTAACAATAAAGCATTTTCTATTAAAAAAAAAAAAAAAATACAAACCCTTTCTCAGGGAGCAGCTGTACTTTCATTTGCTCGGTGCCTGCCTGCAAGGCACATGGAAGTACCTGACAGTGCTGGGATCCTTTCAGACCAACAGTTTCACAGGAGGACTTGTTCCAGCACAGATTATGACACCTCAGATTTGATTTTTATTCACTTTTCCACTGAGGCATTTATCAAAAGCCTCCTGGAAAAGCGAGGACCCAAGCGTGCTGCACATTTGTAGCCATCAGAGGAGAGAGAGGATCTATGGGCACTGCTGGGACCCAGACCACAATCCTGCATCAAACAGCAGCACGAAGCAGGGACCCCTCATAACACTCCAGTTCCAGGATGGGGACATTTGGCCACACAGCATTCCAGCAGGCATTGCATCAGTCACTGCAAGACACACTCCTTCTCCCCAAGGACATGTGTTTTTACCCACCTGTTCCTGTCAAAAACAAAATCCTCCTTCACATCAGACTCCACGGTTCCCAGAACCACTTTTCTGGTCCTAACACAAACGTCCTGCCTCTGTGCAGACAGCAGTCAAGGGGCAAGGAGAAAAGCTAGCTGCTTAACCCCAGGGCCTTCCTCTCTGAGGAGCTGTAACAGACCAGGTTATGTAATGCCTGGAGACTTTACCTTCCAGCTCACACTGCAGGTCTGCAGGATCTCCTCAACGCTCAGCACTACCCAGGATCTGTAGGATCATCTTCACAAAGACAGCAACGTACCCTAAGGAAAGAAACAAAATACAGTCATTATAAAACTGTTCTCTATCAGGACCTCAGAAGGACAAGGGCATGCTTTGTTCTTAACAGGAATTTGACAACAACCTTCACCAGCAAAGCAGTTGTGCTGAAGTTGCAAAACGCACAAACCAGCTGCAGTGAGTCAGCGTTGCTGATTTAACATTAATTACCTTGTTCTGGGACGAGGATGACATGATTCAAGCACTTCATTGGCTCTAGAAAGGTCTGCTCCACACATCCTGCACCAGCTGAATCTTGCCCTGAGCTTTGACAGAATAACAACGCAAATTTAAAGCAGCTCACAACAAAGAGAAGAAGAGAGAGAAAAAAAAAAGGACTTAATGCTTTCAGGACTGCTAACCTTTGAATTCTACTGCAAGCAAAACCTGCAGAGGATTGAACTTGGATTACTTCAAATATTCATCCCACTTGCGTGCTTCCATATTTTTCTTCTAGATGCTTATATCCAAGCTGCAGACACAGCTTTTCATTATTCCCAATAGCTTTAATCTTATAAATCCATCGGCCTTACCTTCCCAAAGAGTACATCCTTCCACAGACCCATTCCTTCCCCTCTTCCTACTCACTGGTGCCATCTCACATTCCTTTCACACAACCAACAACTGACCTGTTTGTTTCTGCATCGAAGAGAAGCTAGAAGGCAGCTTTGTGATTTCTTCTTTTCGGCTCGTTTCTAAGGAGAAGGATGATAGCACCAAGAAAAACCAAGTCAAACCACTTCTACACGTAGTTTTTCCAGACCTTTATTTTACAAAAATAACTTACAAATAGAGACAACTCTCAGAAGCAAGATCATTCATTCTGTGCATAAAGATACAGGTTTGTGAAGTCCGGGCATAAGAGTTAACAACTCTTACAATACTGTTAATTTTAACATGATGGTAGCTATATTACAGCACATACATTTCATGCTCCAGACACACGGCTACGACCACCACGTAAAGCTATGGTCAATGAACCGTGCCAGCCAGCAAGGATGCACATCAGAGATCATTGCCATACTGCCTTTTATTGTCATCCTCTTAGCAAGGACAGTTAAAACCAAATGGCAGCCTAACACTCAGACTACAGCACTCTGGATACACTCAACAGCAATATACTTCAAATACATGATAAAAATATATTTCATTTTCAAATACAATTGTATAAGGTACACCGATAGCCAGAAAATAAAGTCTCGAGCTTTTAAATACAACACACTATATATAATAACATATACAATGAGACAAGAGGGAATCTACACATGGAAGGAAAAAGCTTATCCTGAAAACGAATGTTATCTATGGTACACAATGGCTTTGTCTGCTAGGAAGTCGGTTCCATTTGCATAGCATTGTCAAGAAGTCCAGACTGGGCTAGGAGGAGATCAAACAAAACACACAAACAAAACGCTTAGTTTTGGTACCACTTCCATATTGTGCCTGATTCTACTCTTAAATTACAGTTTGCTATTTCTCTTTTGTAGGCTGTAATTCATGCCCCGTTCATAACAAGCATAAGGAAAGGGGGAAATAAAGTCAGAGAATCAAGGAGGGTTCTTGCCGGAGTTGCAGTCATTTGGTATTTTGCTCCAGAGCAGAATACTCCGCTTCTGACACTCTGGAAGCATCAATAAGCTTAGTGAGACCAGTTTTGGCAGAGTACTTGAAAATAAAGGCTTTCATGAGCTCGTATCTGTAATTGCGATTAATGAAGCTATAGAGGATGGGGTTGACGCAGCAATGGACTAGAGAGAAACACTGAGTGATGTGAAGCGTGGCGTACAAGAAGTTCTCCATTTGACAACTGAAGGGTATGAAATGAAGACTGTAGAAGATGTCGAGAAGGACAGTTGTATGGTAGGGTAGCCAGCAGACAAGAAACACCACCACGTAGGAGAAAATGATCTTCCCACTGCTCTTCCTCTCTTGGTCGCTGGAGGCAGAGATGGCCTTCGCAAGGAGGAAGTAAAAGAGAGCAATGACTGGAAAAGGGATAAGGAAGCCCAAAACGACAGAGATGAGCTCCATGCCGATCAACCACTCTTTGAAGCTCTCCTCGGGATACAAGGGACGGCAGTAGGTTTCATTGCTGGTAGAGACTGTCTTAAGGAAATAGGTGTCTGGCAGAGATGCAGAAAAGGCAAGAAGCCACACCAGGATGCAGATGCAGCGGCGGATTATCTTCTTCTTGCGATTACTAGAATTGGTGAAATAGGCAACTGAGAGGTAGCGGTCCACGCTCATGCATGCCAGGAAGAAGATGCTGCCGTACAAGTTGATGGAAAATATAAGGTGAGTTATTTTGCACGTGATTTCTCCCATGTGCCACTGGTTATGCTGGACGAGGGAGACAACCCAAACAGGAAGCGTGATGACAACGCACAGATCGGCGACGGCCAGGTTGAAGATGTAGAGGTGGGTTTCATAGCCAGTCATTTTGGCTTGGAGATTGACCCACACCACAACAGAGTTGGCCACCAGCCCTATGACAAAGATAAAGATGCAGAAGAAGGACAGGGTGTAGAGCAGGGCACTTTTGTTGAGCGTGCCGGGGCATGCCGTCGCATCGACTGTGATGCAGTCGCTGTTGTTGCACATCCAGTTGATCTCCGTTAAGTTGGCCTTTTCCAGAAAATCAAAGATTGAAGTCAAATCAAGTGCATTCATGTTTGCTTACTTCAGGTTTCAAGTGACCTACGGAACAAGCGGGATCGAAAGAAAAGATCTGAGGTTAATGGGTGTATTTCTGCTGTCTTCTTCATACCAAAAAGCGCATGCGAGACACGTTGCTTTAGTAATGTCCTGCTCTGCTAATACGTTTTCATAAAAGAGGTCTGTGGAGTAAAGGAAGCAGAACAGACACGCAGCAAAACTCATCTGGTCCACGAAAGAGGAACAGCGCTAGCTTTGTGTGGGATTCTTTCCTGCAGCTCGTGTCTGACATCATCAGGTTGGCTATCATCCCCGGGTGTGAAATCCGCAAAGTACGCCGTGGCCAAATAAATGTCAGGCAACTAAATCTGTCTTCTCCAGCATAAATGATGATACTATCGCTTTCAGCAGGGGAATCTTTAAGCCATTTTATCTGCACTCCCTCAAGCATAGTAGAATTGATCTGGCTGATACACGGTACTGTAAAACATTTACCACAAGTTCTGCTAAGCATCTTGTCAAGTCCAGCTCCAGCTGCATTAAGCAGAAATGGGGAACTAAGGGGCTTTGTACCCTCATCCAATTTTAAATTTAAATCCTGCTCCATTCTCCCTCCTTCCCTTCAATTCTATTTTACAAAGCATCCCCTGTGTTTAACGATTATCACGTAGCTCTGAGGAAAAAGAATCAGAGCTTGACCGCTGAGTAGATCTGCCGGGCTTAAGTTTTCTTTTTAGAAGAGAGCTTTGATTTACAAAATACTCCCCCCATCACAGCTGGCTCCACAACAACTGCTTCCTCCCCACCCTCTCTCTTTTCTAAACCTACTTTCTTGCCTCTTCAGCCCCTTCCCCCATTGGCAGACAGCAGACAAAGCACTGGGCTACTTGTTCAGTTCCGTGCCAGCAGAAAGAAGGGACCCAGCAGACCCACACGGCTCACACAAAATCCAAGCTGGACTGCTAATTACCATTGTGCTTTTGGGGCAGCGTAAAAGGCCTCCTGCCCCGCTGGGCCAACAATACCACCCAAGGCTGCTCCTGGGCTAGTCGGACACCTGCCAGCCAGAGTTTCTTCCTTCTTCCACACCAGGGGATGCATTCCTCTCATTCCCCTGGAGCACCAGGCCAGGTTGCAAAGGAGGAACTGTCCCGTTTGTGCCACTCAACCTGGGAGGACAGCTGGAGTCCAGTGATGGCACAGGTGGATCGCCCTGCAGAGCTCTGAAGGCCCTGGAGCCGCATCTGCAGCACAGGCTGTGCAGCAGCTGTATCTCTTCCAACACACAGCAGTAACACCAGCAGGCTTTGCAGCCCATCCTTCCTCCCAGCTTAATTGCAACAAGTAGCTTTCTCTTACTCTGCTGTCTGGCCACTACAAGGCGGACAGCCTGAGCAAGCTGTCAAGGGATACAGTAAATAAAGGATCTGTCAAGAAAAGCATTTCTCACTCGCTGCCCTTGTTAGCTGATAGCTTCAGCTTGCATTTCTCTCATCAATCCCCCTCTTTCGGATATAAAATCCTTTAGACACTTTAACGTCCTGAAACATAGCCAGAAGCCTCATTCTTCTCCACAATTAAGATGTAAATCCTGTAACTGAGAGCATCCTTCTGCTTCCTGCTCCCAATCCCAGGGCAAGCTTGCACTGAACAACCAAGTGACTGAAACAAGCCAAGGAGAGCACACAGGGAAACAACTTACTCAACCACCTGTATCTCTCAATGTCCTTACCTCCCCAAAGGATCTCTTGGATGGGATGCAGGTTTTAGTGGGACTTATGAGATAGCCTGCATTATGGAAACTCACAGGGAACACTCAGCTCCAGGATGTTCTAGGATCAGTTCTAAAATGTTGTAACATAGGAAGGAGACAACAGAGCAAGGAAGAGTTGGGACGTGCTTCTGCACTAAGCAGTCTCTTCTTGTCCCCACAGGGGACTGGCACCTGGGCTGGGGAAACTTCATGCCTCTGAAAAGGGTTCACAAAGCACCTCTTAGCCCTCTGTCTGCATAATCAGCTCTTCCCAAAGCTCCCACCCATCCTGCCTCGCCACAGCCAGGCTTTGCCACAGAGACAAACTGAGGAAGAAAAGGGAGATAAGGAGGTTGGGGGGGGGGGGAAGATTACAGGAGAAGATTCAAGGCACTATTGTCCCTCTGGAAGGGGAAGCTGGTGGCACTAACAATGAGGAGGGCCATGCACACAGCCAGGAGAGATCAAATCTCTCCACAAACAGGGCCCAAATTGGCCCCGTGAGGGCACCTAGCTCACTGCTGCAAACCTATCCAGCCTTCCAGTCTTTCATCTCACCGGCACGCTGAAAGACAAGGCTGAGATTCAAACCAAATTAACTGCCCGTTTGGCTAAGTCCTCTCACCTCGCCTCAACGCACTCAAAGCAACCTGAGCTCTCCCCGCCAGCACAGAGCCCTGCGCAAGGGCAAGGCTGACATCCTGCGCTGCTCCCAAAGAGCTGTCACAGGGAACACCATCCCAACACAGACCTGAGACGTCCCCATCACTTTCTCCAGTGGAAGACACAGGTTTCAGTTGGGTCGGGACGCTAGAAGACCCACTGAGCAGCTGGGATCAGACTCAGCCAGGGGTTAATCCGCCAGCAGAAATGCACGAGGTTCTGCAAAGCACAGGCTGCGATCTGAACCTGCGCAACCCCAACTAAGTTCAGGGGGCTGCATGCGAGAGATCGCCGCTTCCCCCTACAGCCAGCAAAGGGAAATGAGATGCTCTGCGTTCACAGGCTCAAGCCTCGCCGGTTAGCGAGGGAGAGAGGCGGACAGCCCACGTCTCCCTGCCACCTGCGAGCACCGAGCCCAGGGGAGCAGAGCGATGTTCAGCGGGCAGATCCCGCTCTGCACGCTTTGCTCTCCGCGGGCACGCAGGGCAGCGCAGCCCGACCTCCCGCTCCGCTTCAAGCCCCATCTCCGACACTCCGCACTCCCAAGCCGTGCCAGGAACAGCCGCGTCACCCCACACCGCAGAGCCAGCCCTGCCATCGCGGGACACTCCGCCACCTCAGCCCCGGCCCGGCTCCCCCCGCGGCCGCCCGCCATGATTACCTCACAGCCTGCGCGCCTCCCGCTCCGAGCCACTGAGCGCCGCCCGCCGCCGTCGGCCCTTATAGCGGCAACGGGAGACCGCCTCCGGAGGGCGGCCCTGCCCGGCCCCGCCGCCCGCCCCCGGCCCGGGACAGCTCGGGGGACTCGCCCGGCTGTTCTTATGCCTCCAGCATACAGCGGGCTGGGTCAAGTGGAGAGAGCCTCGGTCAGCCGCAGGGAGGGAATCTCACCTCCGCTCCCTCACAAAGCGGAGAAAAAGTAACGCCAAGGAAAAGTGAGAGGGTGTAAGAGACGTGCCTGCTACAGCTGAAATCCCCGCTGCATCTCTCCTCGTTAAAGGAAAGCTATCTAAGCACCTGCCCTGTGAAGGAACCACACAACCGCTCCGCTTGGAAAGACCTGAAAGACCACCCAGTCCGACCGCAGCCCATCCCACCATGCCCACATCTCTCAGTGCCACATCCCCACGGTTACGGAACAGCCCCAGGGTCCCCCTGCCACCTCCCTGGGCAGCTGTGCCACTGCATCATTGCTCTTGCTGAGAAGAAATGCTTCCCGGTATCCAACCCGAACCTTCCCTGGTGCAACCTGAGGCCATCACCTCTCATACAATTGCTGTTACTGCCACCTCACCACAGCCTCCCATCAGGGAGCTGTAGAGAGCAACGAGGTTTCCCCTGGGCTTCCTCCATGCTGAACAACCCCAGTTCCCTCAGCTGCTCCCCATAAGACTTGTGCTCCAGCCCATCACCACTCTGTTGCCCTTCTCTGGGCACGCTCCAGCGAGGGAGCGAAACACCATTAAAAAGTATGCATTCTGTTTACCCAACAATACTTAAACTTATTTCCGTGGGCAATCAAAAGCTTCCATTCAAACATCACCAAGCAGCAGAGTCCACGGATGCATCAGATTTGCATCCTGCATGCAAAGAGCGTTAATCAGCCTCAGTTTCTCTGCTAGCAAGGAGGAGATGATTAAGCTGTGGACATGACACCTCCCACAGCTGAAAGGATGCACTGATTTTAGCCTATCCCACCGTGTTTTAGGTGCCAGGAAGGAGAAGGACAGAAGGATGAGCCCCTTTCTGTCCCACAGATGGAGCAGGTGAGATGAAACGTACCTCGCTCCCTTCCCCAGATGAGGATAGTTAGATCCTCCCAACTTCACAGCTGTCAATGAGCAAAGCATTTTGGCATTTGCTTAAATTCTGCATGCTTGCTGAAGCCCGCGAATGCTGGTGGAATTGAAGTATGATGAGTTCAGACAGTGACAGGCTTCAGTTTAAAAATAAGTGTGTGCCCTTGGCTAAGTCCAGAGTCCCTTGGTCAAAAAAGCAAGCAGTTTTTCTTTACTTGGTGCACCAGAAAATAACATCAAGGATTACAGCCTCTCCAAAAATACCATCCCGCATCAGCAACCACAAGGCTGCTTGCTGTCCAGGAGCTGCAGGCAGCCTCCTCTCTTGCATCTGCTAAGAGCAGGAGCAAAGCCCTCGCTGCCCTCGCTCCCCTTCCAGGTCCTCCCTCCAGCTATCTTTTACAGGGAACACGTTCCACACGCAGGAGGGACGAGCCCATTCCCTTTCCATTATGAAAGCCAGATTTTGCTCGGTGCTCAGGGATGAAATGCTTGAGCAGTAAGCAAAATAACACTGTCTCAAAGAATTGCACAACACAAAACCATCCCCCTACAACACAGTGAGCAGAGCTGCGGAAAAGCTGGGCACCCCAGATAAGATCAGCACAGGGCCAATGCTACTTGCTTAGTGAGATTAGTTCTGCTCTATAACCACTGTTAAAAAGGCAGTCCAACCACAGCCTCCAGGAGATGCGAGCTCTGAGGCAGCTCATCAAGCAGGAACTCCCTGCACAGATGCAGCAAGATGAGTTCTTACCCATCCAAGTTTCCTTCTCTCCTGGGACGTGGATTTACGCCATGAGAACTGAGCAAGAACTTGTTCAGCAATTGTAACGTGGCTTGACACCTGGAGTTTGCCATCCCAGACTGCAGGCAGTGCAGAGAAACTCTAAAGGCTGAATCCTGAACATCAGGCAACTGCTTGACAAAGCCAGCAGCCCCAGCCTCCAGCTCCACAGCTGCGCTTTTTGGTTTGAAGGGTGACAGCAAGCAGGCTGTCTTCAGCAGCAGGATTCTCCCAGCACAAGCCTCTGCTATCCATGTCTGTGGGCAGCACAGGGCTTTGCATGAAATCAACACTCTGCTGTGCTCAGCGCTGAAGATAAACACACATAGGGGTGAGCTCTGACCAGTGGAGATAGAGAGAACTGTCATACCTATGAGAGAAAAGTCAAGGAAAAGAAAACACAGCTGAATGACTTGACCCAGCATATTTGGCACAACACAGTACTGAAAGCTGGGTTATTACTTTAACTGCCTGCCCAATAAGCCTGAATTAAAGCAGTATCTTTCTTTTCCCTCAAAAGCACAAGTTCTTAGTGCTTACACTAACAGGGCAACAGGCAGAAAT